GGAAATTAGTGACTTTTGTAGATAAGAGAATCAAGCCATTCAGTTACCCTTGAGAACAGACTAAGTATGATCTTAGGTTACAAGCAGTCAAATTTAAATAGAGAGAAAAACACATCCAGCAATGGGACGACTCAGCCTGTCATGTGACGTGAGTGTGACACCTGCCCCACAGGGACTGTTGTGACACCAGGAGATGTCTCTGCCCTGCTGTGTAGGGCACGCACACACACTGGCCAGGCAACCAAGCAAAAACCTCAATGAACATATTCAAAGTTGGTTCGAGTAGTTAGATTAAAAGGCATTTAGATTTTCTAAGATATTTCTGTTCTACATCGCTATGAGATCAGATTGGATGCTGTGTACTGAGATGTCTAAGTAACGCATGTCTCCCACCGCCCAGTCCAGGAACTTCTATGATCCATCAGGTCTCGGCCATGCCTGACAAAGACCTTCTCTACCATCCCAGTGCGGCCCTTGCGCTCTTCTCCCTCACAGCCCTTCCCTTTCATTTCACTCAGAAGTACCTACTAGGTTGGTACCCAGCTCCCCCACGAGATTACACACTCAAAGGGCAGGAACTGTCCGTTTTGTTCACAATACCATCCCCAGTGCCTGGAATGGTGCCTGGCACATGGGAGGCATGACTTAAACAAAAAAACATCATTTCTTCACTGTCCTCAGTGGAACACTCACTTAGTCCAATTAATCTTCTTCCTTAAAAATTAATCATAGCAAAATAAAATTTAAAATAAAATTCACTTAAAAAATAACCTAGTATTAACGGTTCATCCACTATGGAAAACAGTTAAGCAGTTTCTCATAAAGGTGAGATGGACACTTGCCACATTAACTAAGCAATCCCACTCCCAGGCATTTACACAAATAAAGTGAAAACCTGTATGTGAATGCTTCTAGTGGTTTATTCCTAATTGTCCAAACTGGAAACAACCAAATGTCCCTCAGCTGTAAACAAACCGTCTTCTAATCATTAAAAAGGAACGAACTACTGATACATGCAAAACGGATGAATCTCAAATGCATCACGCAAACAAAGTGAAACCAGACTCAAAAGACTGACACATAGTGTCTGAATCCAGGTATGTGACATTGCCGTAAAAACAAAACTACACGGACAGAAAATAGGGCAGTGGTTACCAAGGGTTAGAGGAAGAGGAGAGGGGTTGACCACAAACGGGCACAGGGGACTGTGGGCGGCGGAGGGGGAGGGAAATACCTGGACTGTGGTGAACTGTTATCTGTCAAAACTTGCATTGGGAGTTCAAAAGTTGCAGCTACTAACTAATGTATATAAAATAAACAAGTTTCTGCTGTACAGCACAGGGAACTATACTCAATATCTTGTAATAACCCATCATGAAAAAGAACATGAAAATGAGTATACATATGTACACGTATGACTGAAACATGCTGCACACCAGAAACTGACACACTATAAACTGACTATACTTCAGTTAAAAAAAAATATTGCTATGCCTGTCACATTTGAAAAAGACATACAGAATTACATACCTTAAGAGAGTGAATTTTAGGATAAGAAACTTAAAAAAGCAGGAAAAACTCCTCTCCTGCTTGCTTACTATTTTCTAATAGTCTTTGCTTCCTTAGGATGTAATTATTGTAACATTAATTTGGATTACTTTTGTCATGATGTCTTTCCCATAGAGACTACAAACAGCTCTGAACCCTTAAGAGATCCACCAGGCTGCTGCGGGCTGTCCAGAGCACATGACCATTTCCCTACTTGTCATTTCTGCTGGTGACCGCTAGACTACAGCATAACCAAAGGAGTTTTCCTTTGGATCAGAGGTCAATACCCTTTCCGGGGCCGTGTGGCAGTTTCCTAACAAAGTTTTCCTGTTCTAAATACTACCAACTGAGCAAGTAATATACTTAAGAGTAATTAGGCCTCAATTCCAGTTTTAACTAGTCATGGAAGTTCCCAGAGGTTTGCAAATAATGGAGGTGATTGATGTCACGTGAGTAACCATGGGTTTGGAACTAAAAGAACAGAAGCTTGAAAATCAAAAGCAGATCAAGAAAGAAAATTTCAGGCAGACAAAATGGAAGAACGGGTAATACGTCTTATTCCTCTTTCTCTCACCTAAAAGAGCACTCTCCCCCAATCACAGGACCAAGAACCACAGGTCCCCAGAGCACTCCCTTCCAGCCACAGGTTGTTAGCTCCAACAATACAACTTTAATTCTCAACTGTTATTTCTGCAGAACTTCGTGATGACAAATGCACTGGCATCTATCAATCTAAAACACACGAAAGGGCACCCTGACACAGATCAGCTGCCACCCTTCGTCCAGAGATGCCCCTTTCACGAATACTGTGACTACTGCAGACTGGAACAGCTTGTTTTGGCATGAGCTCAGTACACAACTTAGAGCTACCAAGGTAAGAACATTTTAATTAAAATGAAACCCAAAGTCCAGGCCCGGTAACATTTTTCAAAATTTTTGACACCTTATTGTGCAAATTACTGAAAATCAAGAGCTCTTCCTTTATGCAGTCAAGAGCCTTCGTGGGAGACCATAACAAGTAATTAGTTGAAATTCCCACTCTTGAAAGAATTGCAACTACATGCCAATCTTGCAGAACTAAAAAAACCAGCTCCTACTTCAGCTTTTTATCGTTGATACACTTCCCTGCAAGATTTTCAAGTTGTGGTCAATTCACACTTTTGTCTAAAGAGTATTTTAAAATACTCAAAAAACTAAGCTAAGTGGGGGAGGGCATAGCTCCAGTGGTAGAGCACGTGCTTAGCATGCCCAAGGTCCTGGGTTCAATCCCCAGTGCCTCCGTGAAATACAGATGAACCTAATCACCATCCCACCCCCCCCCACTGCAAAAAACACCCAGGTGACAGGTGGTTTTATGGGCCCTGGGAAAGATTACTTACAAGAGTCTTTAATGAAAATTGTGAAAATGAACATGTGCACATATACATACGCACGACTGGAACATGCTGCACACCACAAATTCACACTGCAACTGACTGTACTTCAAAGTTTAAAAAGTGTTTTAAAAAACCACTCCAGCTGAAAGTCTCTGGAATTACAGTGAAACTGCATGTTAGCTCAAATTCTAATTCACTACTAGTCTAGGCTCTTCTTGAACCATCTGAAATCTAGATCAATGATTAACTATTAAAAAAAAACCCGAATTGAGTTGATCCAGCCAAAACTCACCCTAGGTTGCCTATTCTGGGGCATAGGGTGAGAACAAGTTTATTAAATCAGCAATGCATTACTATTAAACTCCTTAACTGCCTTCGTTTCCTTCCACATTCTGAAACCATACCAGAATTCTTGGGGCCAAATTTCAACAAGATCTTTTTTTGCCGTTAATTCAGTAACTGGCCAATCTAAAATACAGTTTAAGGTCAAGCACTGGTTTGCACCTCAAAAAATCTAAAAAAAATTTTGCTCTTAACCAAAACAATTAGTATGAAAACCTCAGTGAACAAGGGCCAATCACTCCTTCATCCAGAACTTGGAAATTGAGGTTTCAACTAGTTTGTAGTGACCACCAGCAGGTGGTGCTCAGACCAGACAGCTGCACACACTTGATCCCATGGCGAGGACGTGTGCAAACAGGCCTCTGGACTCCCCGCTTTCCTGCTCTCCTTCCTTCCTACCCTCCTCCACTGAAACGAAAGCCATTTTCTGCAGTGAAACCTTCATTTTACCAGTCTCCCCTGATAAACCCTACAGCTGTGTCAGATCTGCTTATTTATCAGCTACCATTAACTAGCCAGCTGTTTTTATAAAGGAACCCTGTTCTCTACTAGTAAACAGCATACTTGCTAAAACATTAAGGAGCAAAGACAGGTACCTTATGAAGATGTGGATAGATTATCTTTTAGTCATATTATATAGCACATTCCAATGGCCTCCTGTGTAATAAATGAGCAGGCTCTTCACCCAGTTTAAAATCTAGAACATTGTTCAATTAGTCAATTCTCACCTTACAGGACAGTCTTGCACAACTGTGCCTTGTAGAATACTAGGTGTCCGATACCTTTCCATTTCCAGCTGTATTAATTTTTCATATCCAAAACACCTACTTAGGGAGCCAATATCAAGTCATACAGAATTAGATCCATAGTAGTGTTTCTCAAACGCACACGTGTCCTTAGATTAACCAACTATCAAAAAGCAGCATTACAGACGGTCGCCTCACCCAAGGATACCAATTACTATTAACACCCACCTAGTTTTCCCCTTTGTGCACTGCATGCAATTTACAAGTCACCAAACTTTCAAAGGTTTCAAGGACTATTTTCATCCCTACTGTCAAATTTTAGCAACTTCAAAATATGCAGTCTTCCAATATCCCTTCCCAATAGGCAATGATTTTAAAGTAGCACTTTAAAAACTTCCAACTGGCCCTTTCACTTATTTACCACTGCAGTGGCACAAGGGTGGAAATTCCTATCAGAAAAGTCAACTTCTGAAGTGACAGGAAACACACTCAAAGTAGCTTTTATTTTTTCCTAGAATCTGGATACAATTAACGCCAATGGGGGCAGTGCTCAATACTACTGAAGCCTCGCATTTTGGCTTAACTACTGCAATATTGTAAATGTGAATGCAGTACCACAACTGGGAAATTTGACAAAATTCAATGTTGATATAACTACACAAAAGTTTACACTCAACATGAGCTTTCTTATTATAGAATTTCATCTTACAAACTAGCTTACATATAAAACAAAGTTACTCTGCCTACCTGTCCTAACATGAACTGTTGCACCAACACTTTTTACTATGTACTTAGAACAAAAGTTCTCTTCACATGAGGTTAGAAACATGCAGTTTCCACCCAGAGAAAAAAATTAGCCGAAAAGTAGAAAGCTCTTGTTCCAGCAGATTTACCACCAGAAATAGGCTATGCATAGGTAACTCTTACCAAGTCCCTGACCTACGCAGTACTACAGGAAGTTACAGCGTTGACCAAAAGAACACACAGGTTTCTCATTAAACTTTGTTTTAATGGGTCTCAAAATTCTGTGACAGATTTTTGGTCAAGTTGTTTCCATTAAAAAGTACTGATTTTAAAAACTAATAACTTAAAACTGCCACACACACAAAAGAAACAAATGGTCCACAAAACATTCTCCTTTCCTTCTGAAGGTTTTACGATGCATTGTTATCATTAACCAGTCTTTTACTACTAAACTTAAATGGCCAATTGAGACAAACAGTTCTGAGACCGTTCTTCCACCACTGATTAAGACTGGGGTGGCAGGTATTGGGGATAATATTCATTTAGCCTTCTGAGCTTTCTGGGCGGACTTGGTGACCTTGCCAGCTCCTGCTGCCTTCTTGTCCACTGCCTTGATGACACCCACAGCAACCGTCTGTCTCATGTCACGGACAGCAAAACGGCCTAGGAAAACAAATACCATATCATTAGAAACACTTGGTACACGTACACAGCATTTACTGTCCATCTATTACAATTTCTAATTACTGAAAAGACTTCCTTACCCAGAGGAGGATAGTCAGAGAAGCTCTCAACACACATGGGCTTGCCAGGAACCATGTCAACAATGGCAGCATCACCAGATTTCAAGAACTTGGGGCCATCTTCCAGCTTTTTCCCAGAACGACGGTCAATCTTCTCCTTCAGTTCAGCAAACTTGCAAGCAATGTGAGCTGTGTGACAATCCAGCACAGGTGCATATCCAGCACTGATCTGGCCTGGATGGTTCAAGATAATCACCTTGGAAAGAAGACTTACATTTAGTGACTCAAAGACAGTTAAGACTCTTGGCACAGAACAAAAAAAGGTGTCACTTAAAACTGTTACCTGAGCTGTGAAGCCAGCTGCTTCCATTGGTGGATCATTTTTGCTGTCACCAGCCACATTGCCGCGACGAACATCCTTGACAGACACGTTCTTGACGTTGAAGCCCACGTTGTCCCCAGGCAGGGCTTCACTCAAAGCTTCATGGTGCATCTCAACGGACTTGACTTCAGTTGTAACATTGACTGGAGCAAAGGTGACCACCATGCCAGGTTTGAGAACACCAGTCTCCACTCGACCCACAGGGACAGTACCAATACCTAAGAAGTTTACAGTACAACGTCAAACACCACATGACAGAAGATAGTGAAGCAACCCAACCCATTCAAGATCCCATGATAAACTTACCACCAATCTTGTAGACATCCTGGAGGGGCAGACGCAAGGGCTTGTCAGTTGGCCGAGTTGGTGGCAGGATGCAATCCAGAGCCTCAAGCAGCGTGGTTCCACTGGCATTGCCATCTTTACGGGTGACTTTCCATCCCTTGAACCAAGGCATCTAGAAGAACACGATTGTCAATTAGTATTACCATTAAACTTGCCCCTTCCAGAACTTAACAGTCTTGAAAACTGTCGTGAAAAATTGCACTTACGTTAGCACTTGGCTCCAGCATGTTGTCACCATTCCAGCCAGAAATTGGCACAAATGCTACGGTGTCAGGGTTGTAGCCAATTTTCTTAATGTAGGTGCTGACTTCCTTAACAATTTCCTCATATCTCTTCTGGCTGTAGGGTGGCTCAGTGGAATCCATCTTGTTAACGCCAACAATTAGCTGTTTCACACCCAGAGTGTAAGCCAGAAGGGCATGCTCACGGGTCTGCCCATTCTTGGAGATACCTGCTTCAAATTCACCAACACCAGCAGCCACAATCAGGACAGCACAGTCAGCCTTTGAGAGAAAATAAGGCCATATCCTGTTAAACAAAAGTTCTTCAAAGGACAAACCCATGGTTTTGCCAATAACGGGCCCAAAGTTACTTTCAGAAGTTTTTAATTCTACAAACCTGAGATGTGCCTGTAATCATGTTTTTGATAAAGTCTCTGTGTCCTGGGGCATCAATGATGGTCACGTAGTACTTGCTAGTCTCGAATTTCCACAAGGAGATATCAATGGTGATACCACGCTCACGTTCTGCCTTCAGCTTGTCCAAGACCCAGGCATACTTGAAGGAGCCCTTTCCCATCTGAAAGGATTAAGAACGGTTACTTGGTAACTAAGACATGATCAAATCCCAGCTTGAAATTCCTTACTGCCACTTATTTGGAAAAACAACTAGTTTCCAACGAGAAAAGTTCGGCGTCTTTACCATACTCTCAAAACGTGGTTTCAGACACAAATTACTTAGCAGCCAACGCTGGAATTTACCCCAATTAGACCTAAACTAGTGGTCAGTTTTAGGAAAACTACCACTTAGTGTACCTAATGCACTTAAGCTGGCAGGCTTCTTAGTTTAACCATCTGTTTTACTTTACCCACCTCAGCAGCCTCCTTCTCGAACTTTTCGATGGTTCTCTTGTCGATGCCACCGCATTTGTAGATCAAATGGCCGGTGGTGGTAGACTTGCCCGAATCTACGTGTCCGATGACCACGATGTTGATGTGAGTCTTCTCCTTTCCCATTTTGGCTTAGATTTAGCGGTGGTTTTCACGACACCTAAGTTGGGGGGAAAAAACCCCACTTTTAAAGTCTCGTCCCGGAAGCTGGTGAACAAGCCACGACCCGAAGTCCGAGGGTAAATTCCAAGGCGCATTCCCGTCGGCGCCGGCCGCGCCCGGCCCGGACCCCCCCACTGCGC